ATGGATGTTTTACTCCCAGGCTTCAAACTGCAGGTTGTTCAAGGTTCAAGGTTCTTTATTTTGTCATACGAACATAGCTACAGTGTAGTTATGCCGATGAAAATCTTAGGTCACAGACTGACTATGGAGAAGTTACGGATACAAACAAACCTAAATGCACGCATACAAATACCAAAAACTGATATTTCTATAAGCCTTTTAGAGGCTTTGATTCTCTGTCCACCAAAGTGACAATGCATTATTTAAATGTCTTCATTTAGACACCAGATCTATAACAAAACACAGCAGGTTTCTTATTTCATTTCCTGATTTGTCTCACTACAGAGCTCAACTTATTCACTCATCTAAAGAGTCTGTAATCTGTTGAATCCAAAGAAGAGTAACCTGTCTAACAGCAAGGTAAATACGTGAACATATTCTAAATATAACGTACAATTTGACTTATATACAGGTCAATTGTTTGGTAAAAACCAGTGATTAAATCAGTCAAACGGTGCAAAAGTAACATGTGTTAATATTGACATTTTCTAGTGTGCACTTTTTGGATAAAACTCACATAAATGCCATTTCTTCGGTCATAATTGTGTATCTCATGTTGTTTTAACTACTTTTCTAAGTGGCTTTAATTAACTATAAGCTGTATTTCTCCCGGGGGTGTCTTTGCTGGAGGTAAAGATTTCAAAGTATCTGTTCTTTGGAGACAGAAACTATTCGTTTTTTGGCTTAAATGGAGCAGATCCATCAGCATCTCCCTCTCTCTCCTCCTGTTAATACAGCTGTACTTTAGAGGACTTCAGGGGGGTCGATCGCACATCATTCAGACGGAAAAATCAATAACTCTGGCGTGGGAAAAGCTGCACAGCTCCATTGATTCTGGTCTATTTTGGGCAGCAAGGTTCACTTCACATATCGTCAGGTCAGAGACATTCATCTGGGGTAAAACTGAACAAACTCAATTGCTTTTGAACGTAACACCAACTTTTTTCAGCTATGACCTCTAACTGGAAGGAGTTGAACCAGCAATGATACGAAATATACAATTTAAGATATATAATATAGATATGCTTGCAAAAAATACACTTGAGCACTGTGGAGTTGCCCCAAAATGTACAAAATAATCATTTAAATACTTGGTTCAGAATGTAAATATTAACAACCATTATTTAGTTTAATTTTAATTATCATACATTTCACCTCCTTGTGTCTATTAACCTGATCACATGTTATATTTTGCTGCATGGACTTTTAAAGTTCTTAACAAATAATCCGAGGGGAATTTCTTGTTTGTTTTTAACTTGAGTCATTTTGTAAAGCTGCACGTGTTGTCTGAAAAGTGCTATATAAATAAAGCTTTATTATTATCATTATTAAATAACTAACTAAAGTAAATGAAGTTCAGCAATCTACACTGAAGACACAGCACAGATCCTGGATCAGAGATAATGTGTGTGAACAGCCTTGGTGTTTCTCAATGGCTAACAGATGTCACTGTCCACAGGTCCATTAGTCGCTCATTCATCTCACTAATGACCAGAGGTGGAAGTAGTGGAGTACAAATACTTTGTTACTGTACTTAAGTACGACTTTTTACTTTCTACTTCTTACATGTTGAACACAAATACCTGTACTTTCTACTTCTTACATGTTGAACACAAATATCTGTACTTTCTACTTCTTACATGTTGAACACAAATATCTGTACTTTCTACTTCTCACATGTTGAACACAAATACCTGTACTTTCTACTTCTTACATTTTGAACACAAATACCTGTACTTTCTACTTCTTACATTTTGAACACAAATACCTGTACTTTCTACTTCTTACATGTTGAACCCAAATACCTGTACTTTCTACTTCTTACATGTTGAACCCAAATACCTGTACTTTCTACTTCTTACATGTTGAACACAAATACCTGTACTTTCTACTTCTCACATTTCCCAAACAGGCTGGTTCCTTTAGTTTGAATGTGTGTTTGGTGGCGTGATCATTATTATTTAGAGTCATTGCGTGCCTATTGATTTGAACACGATCCGTGTATCCATCATTTCCTGGTCTTCTCTAAAGAAGAGGGACCAATGAAAACGTTGTCATGTTGCCGTTGTTCAGCATGGAAACATTCATTAGCTAACAATGACATTATTGTTCTATTAATATAAAGGGAGGTCAGGTACTCTTTAAAACAGCTGCTAGTTATGGGTACTTTTTACTGAAGTACATTTCAAAGCCTCTTTACTTTTACCTGAGTAAAGAAGTTTAGTCAGTACTTCTACTTTCACCAGAGTATTTTTAAACACGAGTATCTGTACTTCTACTTGAGGAAAGGATGTGTGTACAGGTGATGCAACACGAGCACGTGGAAGATAAAGGTGCAAACAATCAGCTGAGTCATAAAGTTAAAGATTAAGTCTCTGTGAGGAAAACACACTTAGCTCTTCCTCAGTGTAGATTAAGTTTAAGGAAGTCATGACATTACAAGAGTTAATCATTTGTGATTCAACTCGAGTGAAAGACGGCACAGAATGCATCTTTGTCCGCAGAAAGTCAGAGTTTTTGGGCTGCCTGGAGGCATATTTAAGGACTACTTTATCCCAACAAGGACCATTTGTATATGAATCACTCAGGCCATGTTCACGTTTGAGGAAGAATCCAAAAAGGAGGCAATTTAGGAGATAAAATATTCCTCTAAGCTGTGAAACTGTTTCAGTATGAGTGAGTCAACTTAAATATTCATAATTACAGTTTAAAATAGTCTGAAGGAAATGCACAATTTACTCCATAAAGCTCTATCTTGTGAACAACACAGCATCACATCTCTGTTCTTGGAAAGTCTGGAATTTTTGAAACATATTTAAGGAACACTTCACCCCCCAAAGAAAAGACCATTTCATACCAATTACTCACCTCTTGTTACCTTAAGCTCTTGGATAAATCCTCAACTTTCTTGCAAGCTTTCACGGTGAAGAACCTAAAACTGGAAACATGTGGTTTGTTCTGCTGCCCCGTGTTCTTCACTTCACCTCGACTTTTCACTGTGTCTTCGACGTATACTTGATGTACAAACGATCATTTTAAAGCTGTGGAACTGTTTGTAGTTATTTACTAAACCTAAATAGTCAAATGCATCAATACACGGTTTCAAAACGTCAGATCTACTCCGAATCGAATGACATTTGCTAAAAAACACTAAGAAATGTCAGTATCACTTTTATTAACAGTATGTCTTAGAGGTTTTCTGCAGGAAGCCAGAGACGGTAGAAAAGACAGAGGGATTAATGTCATATTGTTTCTAAGTCTTCACAGGATTTGGCGGAGGAAACAATATCGTAAATCCTTTAAGACGTGGGATACTTTCTGAGAGCTCAGGTTTTCATACACTACACACGTCATCGTTGGATAAAGCAAGGAATGAAACCGTGTTTTAAAGAGAGCTGGAATAACAACACACTATAAAAATCTTTAGTGCATGTTCTTTTTTGGAGCACACCTTCCCAATTTGTTTTAATGTTCTTATGAACTTTTATTAGTCATTATGTTCTAATGAATGCAGTAGCACACATTCAACAGTGCAGTAAATGTTACGTCTGAGATTTCTCGTTTGTTTCTTAAAACTCTCTCAGTGCTGCAGGGTTTGAGTCAGGTGCAGAAACTTTACTGCTTCTGGATGAAAACATTGGGTTCATTTCACAAAACGATCTGAACTCAAGTTCCCCTTTTCCCAGAGCCTTTGAATGCATCACCTAATGAACGTCCCAAACTTTATTAAAAGCTTAAATTGAGTGCTAAAGGCCTTTCGATGTGGTTGAAAGAACCAGAAAATATATTCTAAATTTGGTTGAGTTACTTCTTGACGAGCAAATTTAAATTGGGCTTTTATTTTGAGTCTAGTTTTTATTTTACAGAGTTTTTAAGTTCAGTAATATATTTGTAATTCAATGCAAAAACTACATTTTACGCAATTTCTTTGTTTGTCAGTGTCTGGAGTGCAATGCATTCTGGTACATGTAGGCTCCAACAGTTTATCACAAGTTTTCAAAAGATAGTCGGGTGGCAGGCACCACTTTCACTTAGTTAAATGTTACTTAATTCAAGCTATGCACTTAGCAAACGGTGCTGATGGCCTGTTTCTTCAGACACAAAGAAACAGATTTTCTAAGCCGTTTTTTTGTAGTTGCTTCTTCGTGAATTTAAATTGGGCTTTTATTATGAAAGGTGTGGAAAATAATAATGAAGCTTGTACCGTTTTGTTCACGCTGGTTTCCACTCAAGTGCATCCATCTTATTATTTCATTACCTGTGAAGGAGCAATTGGCTTCACCATTTTCTGTCTCGGCGCCAGTATCTGGATTGCAATGCATCATGGTACATGTAGTCTATCACGGTTTTATCACAAGTTTTCAACAGATGGTGGGCACCCAAAATGGAATGTTATTTTGGTTTCAGAACATGTGTTCAATTAGCTCTACACCTGCAGGAGGAGAAAGTAAGAAGACACACAGACACATATTTTTTTTTCCACATGAACTGAGGTGTTTTTACTGCATTTCAGTAACAGACAGCCGTATTACACGTTGTACTCACAGCGAAGAAGAAGACACGTCCTCAAAGTCAGTGAACAAAGTGACTTAGAGTGGCCTTCAGTCCGCTCAGAAGACACACTCCAGACTAATGCAGGCTTTAAAAGCACCCAGTTGATGCCTCGGCGGGTCAATACAGCACACACAATGGGTGTAGATGTGATCGACAAAACAGTGGGGGGGGGGGGGGTTTCTGACACATAATCACTGGATGGAGGATGTGTTTCGCCTCCTCTCCAGTGATAATATGCAGGGTTTTGGGGGCTGTTAACGGGAATTTAGACCCTTCAGGAAGCAAAGGGCCGTCCAACACTTCTACTGATTACTGCTAACACCAGTTTTGTCCTTTTTGTCCACATGTGTTATCTTTGGGGATATGATACTCTTGCAGGTCATACACATCCATATAGATAGATGAACTGTTTTTTTTTTTTATCTTAATGTCAGCGTACAAAGGTAAGCTGGGTGACTATATATGAAGACAACAACTACAACTTTCACAGCACTGGCATTGGTTAATTTTAAATACAGTACTCAAGCATTGTTAGATTAATAAAAAGAATTAAAAAAAAACGGAAACATAATACCCCCGGAAAATAAGCTACTGTACGCGAGTTGGTTTCTCCTCTCATATGTTCCTCTGTGTTTCAATGGCATGACGTACATATTTGTGTTTAACCACACCATAATACAGTAATCCAAAGGGTCTCTGCAGGGTCTCCCTTTGGATTTCATACAGTACCATGCATCTCTCTCATGAGTTTCATCTTTTGAATTTAGAAATCATCGATAAACGTGTTAACATAGCGTTGTCTTCACATAGACTCAGTAATAATGTGTTTTAGTCGTCGTCTTTTCTCGGTGCACATCCACCCTATTGCATGTTGACAGGTTTTTGCAGGATACAGTGGCGATCGTGGGGGAAGAGGGGGATTGTGGGTTATGGGGTGTTGAGGGTGGGTTTTTGGGGGGGGGGGGGTTTCAGCTCCTAGACGACAGCCTGTGAATCCGTGCAGACCTGAGTGGTGGTGCCTGAGTTAGTCTGTTTAATGTCCGTCCTCCCGCACACACACCTCACTGCTCTGAAACACACACACAACAATAATAACATCAATAATAAGTATAATAAATAAACAAATGACAGCAGAATGTGTCTGAGAAGTGCACATGATGTGGATAATCACTCTGTTATGCTGATGATACTGTTGACTCTTTTAAAAGTTATTTAAAGAGTTATTCTATCCTATGTTCTTATTGTGTTTTTAGCACTTCTTAAGGCTTGTGTGGTCATTTATTCTTTTATGATTCCTATGATGTTTTAATGTTTTGTCAAGCACTTTGTGACTATGTCTGTGAAAAGCGCTTTATAAATAAATGTTACTTACTTTTTACCCTTTTACCCTTTTTACTTACTATATTATACGTCTATTTATACAATTTCCATAAGATGATTAAAAAGGTGTTGACAGCATAGTGAAATGAAGAGACAGTCTGGAGAAGTTAACAGCTCAGGTTAAAGTGTAATTGCTGCCATATTATAGTGACTTAAATGAAGTTATTATAACATTTGTCTCTCCTAAGAGAACACTGAAGGAAATACTGCCTACACGTTTTTTCCCAGGACACTCCTACGATGAAAATACTCCAGAAATGTTTGACAGCGATTTCCTCCTCAGTTTCCAAAAGAAACCGCAGCCTTTCCTCCTTCCTTCCCTATGTGAGTGTGTGTGTGTGTGTGTGTGTGTGTGTGTGTGTGTGTGTGTGTGTGTGTGTGTGTGTGTGTGTGTGTGTGTGTGATGGAGAAAGCCCTCTGATAGCCATCATGCAAAGAACTGACACCGAGGGGAGAGCAGAGCATGTAAATATGAACGCCTACTGGGAGGGGAAATGTCGAGCGGAAATGTTGGACGTGTGTGTGTGTGTGTGTGTGTGTGTGTGTGTGTGTGTGTGTGTGTGTGTGTGTGTGTGTGTGTGTGTGTGTGTGTGTGTGTGTGTGTGTGTGTGTGTGGGTGTAGGTGGGTGATGATGGGGCAGCCTGCAGCGCTGAGGATTTGCAAAATGCCAGATTGGCACGCACACATCTGTCCTCAGTGATTGGCTGATGGAGTGTTTTCCGTTATTCCTTGCGGCAGCAGCAGCAGCACAATTTGATTAATTAAAAGCATCCTTCTTAATTGGTTTGATTACATTTTGTACAGGAATACTAACTCTAATTGGAACAGCTTTGAGATTCAAGCATAGGGTTTTAAATATAGCTGCTTCAATCCAACATGTCATTTGTTGTGGTTTTTTCAGTGTGTGTGTGTGTGTGTGACACGGTGCTCCTACCGTACCTTGATGGCTCCGTCCACCGGGTCCAACCCCTGCTCCGACAGCTGTTTCAAGGCACTTAGAGCCGCCTGAGAAGAGAGGGAACAACAGATGGTGGAGGGAGGAGAGTGAGTGTCACCCTTCAGCTGCTTTTCAAATAACACTTACTCTGGGAAACCTGATGCCAGCAGGACACTTTCCCTCCGCCCCGTGTTGTCTTTGGCTCCTCGGCGCGGACTGTTTATCTTTCGTTATTGGGTTAACATTTCCACTTTATGTTTCTCTTGCATTTTCCTGCCCTCAGTCTGAGAGTGACATCTGTGAATATCACAGCTAAACAAATATCAGCAGGTCCATAAATCATAAAGGTAACACAACACGCAGAATAATCTGGGTAGCCCGCTGAATGAGTGAAAATAAATAAATGGAAGTGTTAATGGTGTAATGAGTTTCTTTCAAATTGACTTCACGTGGAGGAGGATTACTGAATTACTGACTGATAGACCATCATCTAAAGGCAACGTTGAGTATGTTTGCATGTATATTTACCAAAATATAACATGACATCATATAGTCAAAACCTGCTTTGCATATCAAATGTATGTCAGAATATGCCGTCATTGTTATTAGGGAGCTGGTAGCAGTATAACAATATCTTATTTGCACAAAATGTAGTTAAGAAAATGTTAAAAATGCCATATGAACATGGTCAGCAATGTTAGTTGTTTACCTAATGCACATTTAATTCCTATTATACTCGATTTGTGGATAAGAAGTGAAGCTTTCTGTGCAGAAATCACACTTTTTAGCCTCAAACTATCAAGGAAATTGCTTAAAATGTACTATTTGTGCCACTTTTAGTTCATAATCCCAACGAGCCATGTCATTTAAAAATACCTATCTCTAAATCCTCATTTAATAAGGTAATATAATATACACGTTATCAGTAAAACCTGTTAAATTGATGTCAAAATATGATGGCAATGTTATTATATAGCTAATAACAGCAAACAAAATGTCTAAAAGTGATCTTTCCAACACAATAGTTGTTCGGTAGTTGTTAAAAATGCCCCATACAGAGTTGGATGTTGAGCATTTGCCTAAGAAGCAACAGTTTGTCACATTCAGCAATGTTATTTGTTAACGTAATGCACATTTATTTAGTATTATACTCAATTTGTGGATAAGAAGTGAAGCTTTCTGTGCAGAAATGTCACTTTTAAGCCTCGACTATTCACTCTAGCTTTGTGCCAGCTCTCCATGATGTCATTTCCTTCCTGCTATCATAATAACCACACACACACACACACACACACACACACACACACACACACACACACACACACACACACACACACACACACACACACACACACACACACACACACACACACACACACCACACACACACACACACACACACACACACACACACACACACACACACACACACACACACACACACACACACACACACACGTTTTTAACATGTGTATTAACATATATTATATTTATACAATTGGAAGATATTTAAACCAAGGATAAGGAGATTATGACTAAATAAAGAGGGGGGTTTAAATGTATTTTTAAAGATAGGTCGAGCAAAGTTGAAACTAGTGCAATGACACATGCATTGAGTAAGAGGAGAAAGCATGACACTTCAAACTTTCAATTTTTACATTTAAAAGGAACCTGCCCCCCCTCACAGGAAGTTACACAGACTGTTTGTCCATCTTCTAAATGTCTAACTTATTCCAGAGACAGACACACACACACACACACACACACAACACACACACACACACACACACACACACACACACCACACACACACACACACACACACACACACCACACACACACACACACACACACACACACACACACACACACACACACACACACACACACACACACACACACACACACACACACACACACACACACACACACACACACACACACACACACACACACGATGAGGCCGAGGTGTTTCTCTGAGATCTTCCTGACGTTTTGTGATTGTAACGCTGTCGCTGCAGAGTGTTGATCGAGTCCTGCGGTGAGGAGAACCATCGCCACCAGAAACACAATTCATGTCACGAGCAGAAACACTCGAGGGCTCCTTCAAGAGAAGAGGGGCAACACGGAGCTGATCCTCTCCAGACTGCACACATTGGAGATTAGCTCCAGATGTTCACCCTGTCACTGTTAAACCATCATGAGCGACCATTTGCATTTAGTATCTGGTCTACGTCTATGTTTGTGTGATAATAAGGGCCAAAACTAATCATGTCTTCCATTTTAGATTCAGCTCTTGACCTTAAAAATGTAATTAAATAGTTAAAAGTGTGAGAAACACCCATGAGTGATCACTGTTGTAATATAAAAATGACTAAATCTGGTATTGAGTGATAATCAGGGCTGCAACTAACACTTTTTTCCATTTTGGAATAACTTTTTTGCCTTAAAAATGTCATAAAATAGTGAAAACTGAGCTTAATTTTCTTAATTTGGACAAAATAAATGTGTTTTCCTACTTCTCACTCATGAATGACCACTATTGTAATATAAAAATGACTAAATCTACTGTAGTATTGTGTTCAAATCAGGGCGGCAACTAAAACAAATATCCATTATCGATTGATTATTTGCCAATTAAAATGTAGTCAAAAAGTGGGAAATGTCCACATTCTTACCTTAATAAACATCAGTTTAATATATATTGTTTAAATAATATAACAATGAATAAACGGGTTTCTTACTTGGTATTTTGAATTGGTTTTCTGTGTGAAGTAAGTCACATTTGATATCTTATACACTAATAATTGATTGATTTAAACATGTAGCATTTGAAAATGAAATGTTTTCTATCAATATTCATTTAGATATTTGATAACATACTGCAGAATGAACCCCTCAGACAGAGACGTCGCCGTGTGAATAACGGTGTGTGTTCAGCTTAATGTGCAAGAAAAACATCCATCACGCTTTAATCCTGAGAAAATATGAATCCCTCCGCATGGCGTCTCGATGTGTCTCCGAGGAATGCAAAATGTGCACCATCACCTGCGTGCCAACGTCCAAAAATCATTTTCAAAGTGTTTAACTTCAGATTATGAGTAACATAAACCAGGAGTCATAATTTACGAGCGACAGGTGCAAGGGTCAAAGTCTGGTTTGTATCCATCAAATGTAGAAAAACAAAGCGCACAGGTAGTGAGAAATGTGCAACAATATGGAGCGACTGGTTTGAAAAATGAGGATAATGTCGGGTTAATACCTAAAAAGCCTTTCTCCAGAGACTCAGAAATCACCCCTTAAGCCCCGAGCAGACAATTTATGATGCAATGAGCTTTTTTCCCCTGTGAAGATCTGACAGTTCGGAGATTTAGAGCCCGGATATACTCACGGAGATTTAAGGCGACATCCCTTTACAACATGACGTCTGAAGGAATGTTTTCACTGTTAATAACCGTAAGTCATATCAGGGGACTCTCGATAAAAACGTTTTTTATACGTCTGCATCTGACCACACGGTCATTAAGATAAGAACGGAAACCTCAGATCAATCTCCATTTTCCCCCCATGACCAATAAATTGTAATCACAACGACCTCCCGCGTGATTACCTTTTGTTTGTTATATTTATTCGGTTTGGGATCTTTTCTCTCCCTGAGTAAATAGCTCCAGCCCATCTGTTGGAGGGGTGTTGGGGGTATTGGCTGGAGATAAACAGCCATAAATCTCCACGGTGATATACGACAGGCAGCTCGCTGAAGAGCTCAAGACAAATACTGAGGCTATCTGTGGGAATGGCAGCCAGTGAAATCATTATTTTTCTAATGAGATAAGTCGGGTATCGTTAGAGGCCGCCGCTGCACCGTCAACACCAGAGGAGTGTGTTTAGTCTGAGGGCCGAGACACGCAAGGTGGAGGTGTTCAATCTCTGTCAGGGACAAAGAGAGGAAGAGGAGGCAATGTGTAGAGAGGACGCTGAGTCATGGGAGAGGAAGGGAGAGGTTATGAAATCAATGCTTATAATTCATAATGAAAAGGACACCAAGAGCTCTACCTAATCTCAGGGTTGGGTTTAAGCTAAAAATGTGTTTTCTTTCCACATCTCAAAGCTTTCTGAACACTCGAAATCCAATTAGAAATTGAGCCGTGAGCACCGCTAATCGTTTAAAACACACTTTCAAACAGTCTTTACTGCAAGGTAGTCATTGCACAACAAGCACTTCAGATCAAGCTTAAAGGTAGCTTAATTAGCACAGCGTCAAAAGAAACAGTGCCTCATTCACTTCAATGAGACAAATGCATTGGCACAGCAGGGGGGCTCCACGGGGGGGGGGCTCCAAGAACAAAATGCAGGCTTGTTTTAGCACATGAATCCAACATTTTGCCCCAAAACAAATCATCAGGAAATGCAATTACGAAACGCGGTGTTTTCTAGCAATCCGAGCAGTATCATCTTCTGATTGGCCTCATCACTCCCTCCTCACCTTCATCCTTTCCTCGCCTCATCTTCAGATAACAACCCGGCGCTCTCCATCAATCCAGGAGCAAACTGAAGCCCCACGGACTCTCGACAGATCCATCTATCTATCTATCTTGAGTTCAAAGACCTTGGACGGACGGACGCTCTGAGTTTCTGACGCGGAGTGACAAGAGCGGATCATTTTTCTGCGCCTGCTGCGATCTTAATGGCTTCGGCAACAGACGGTTCACTTCCATCAGCGTCTTGACCAAACAAAGAGTCCCCCAGGAGTCCTGATGGATCGCTGGATCACATGGACGAAGGGAAGCAAAGGTTTTGGGAATGGTGACAGTAGAGGAAAAATGAAATGTTTGGTGGGAAAGGAAGCAGAAGTAGAAGCTTCAAATCCCTTTGATTCTCCATCACTTTGAAGACACCAGGGAGGTCCGAAATGATGTGGAGACCACCAGCTCATCATCCACTCTCTTTTTTAGATTAGATTTTTATTAGCAACCCCCCGCTTTAAATGTTCTTTTAGTCTTTATATTATTTTATAGGTCTTAGTCTTTTCGATTTTGTATTTCTGTTGTACCGATATGTTCACTTTGTT